TCTGCCCTCCCTAGCTACACTTAAAGTCACTTAAAGCCACAGAGAGAGAGGTCTTCTTCCTTCAGCACCATTTTAGGACTGTTTCTGGTAATTGCTAAGTAAATGTCAACTAGTTGACTTCCTGTCTGATCTGCTTTGGCCTGTTTTCTGCTCTCTAGCATCTCCACTAGGGGGCGGGCTGGGCTGGAGAGAAGAGAAGGAAAGCTAAGTTTTCATTCTCTAGCTAACCCTGTTTGTGTCTCTCTTACCCCAGCCCCAGGCCTGGTGATGGCACAGAGCTCCTGGGACAGTTGAGCCTTCTGAAGTGACTGATGCCCATACACGTGTTTATACACGGTCTTCTTGTAACATTCTCTGTGCAGATGGAAAGGGAGGAGTGTGCTGGTTTATATAGGGACTTAAAATGTGTTGACTAGAAAGCCATTGAGTAATTATGGGATATTTTAACACTCTCATGTTTTGTATACTTAAGAATCAGATTTTTGAGGGAGGGAGGAAAGAAAAAAAAAACAAAACCCAGGTTTTTTTTGTGTGTGTGGAGGGTAGGAGCTACAGAGATAATACAGAAGTAAAAACCCTTTAGCCCTGATTTTCAATAAAACATAGTTTGAACTCATGAGGTTTTATATTCCTGTCTCTATCCATTGAAAAGGTGTAGAAACATGACTTTTTCCAATGGCAATGAACACTCCTAGCACCCGGATTATGGTTTTAAAATACTAAAAGAAACTAATGCTTCTTGGAGAAATGGCTGATGCCAGATTTGGGGCAAAAAATGAATAAGATGAGTGTGGAAACAACTTATCCTACCAGATAGTGAGGAAAGAAGCAGAAACTCTCATGTCAAAAGGACTCAGCTCTTTTGGCCTAGCTCCTAGCCAAAGGTGGAACAATTTGAGCACTAATAAGGATAATTTAATAAACACTAAGTATGTATAAATCTATGAGTTCATAATTGTGTGTATGTACCTAATTGGTTACTTTTTAAAGGATGATAGGAAAACAAATAATTATTTTGAAAATAGAAAATAAAGGAAAATTAAGCAGTTTTGCCGGGCGCGGTGGCTCACGCCTGTAATCCTAGCTCTCTGGGAGGCCGAGGTGGGCGGATTGCTTGAGGTCAGGAGTTCGAAACCAGCCTAAGCAAGAGTGAGACCCTGTCTCTACTATAAATAGAAAGAAATTAATTGGCCAACTAATATATATAGACAGAAATATCGGCCAGTCAGGTGGTGAATGCTGTAGTCCCAGCTACTTGGGAGGCTGAGGGCAGGAGGATTGCTTGAGCCAGGAGTTTGAGGTTGCTGTGAGCTAGGCTGACGCCACGGCACTCACTCTAGCCTGGGCAACAAAGCGAGACTCTGTCTCAAAAAAAAAAAAGAATTAAGCAGTTTTATTGCTGTTCCTATATAAACTATATCACAGAGTAATGAAATAGAAGATAAAGAGAAGTATCTCTTTTAAAAATATTCTGACTGTATAACAACTCAAACATAGCTGTTTTGCAATTCCTAGTGAATTAAGGAATCTAGGCATTGAACATCTAGGTCTGGATTTTTCAATGGCTAAATTGAAGGAAAGAAAGGAACCGAGAGGGAATCTCCAGACTGATAAAAAGACATGAAATTTTTCAAAATAGGTAATGTAAGGTTTTTCGGCGGTGGCGAAAAGAAAAGAGACACAGAAAGAGAAAGAGTAGGGGGGCCAAACACGTGGCTTTATTATACACTTGTGGACGAGGTTCTGGGCCCCAAGAGCGGGGGCCCGGAAGTCCCGCCGTCTTTGAAGGGCTGAGGCCTTTTATATCCTTTGGGCTTGCTAGGGACTTTTGGCGGGAAGAGCTGGGGATTTTAGGAGGGGCTGGAGGTGTTTGTGGAATCCAGGAGCCAAAACATTCTTATCTAGGTGGACATCTGGGTGTGGATCCTCTCAGCAGGGCCTGGCAGTTTTGTCCTTGGCAGGTCAGGTCACTAAGCGTTTTCTTTTTCCATCTAGGGAGGGGAGGAGGTCCCAGCCACCAGCCTTACAGGTAAGGCTAAACTATAGTGTCTAAGGAGACACATTTGGGTGATCACACTACCAAAAAAATGCAAGGAAGTGATTAATACCATATTATCCACTTATAGCAGGAGGGAGGGGCTGTCATAGAGATGGTCAACGTGGGGGATGGTTGGTATCTGGCAAAAAGTTCTATTTTTTTCCCTAGCTGGTGGTTTCAAGGGTGTTCACTTTATAATAGTTTATTAAGCTATATCTTTGTTTTGTGTGGTTTTCTGTATCTGTGCTTTATTTTAACATAAAAAGATTAATTAAAATGTGTTAACTATATTTTATCACTTATCTGGAGCTAAAAGACATGCAGCCCAAATTTATTCTAATTGACAAAAACCTTTTTTTATCCCCTTTGGAGATAGGGTCTCTCGTTGCCCAGGCTGGAGTGCAATGGTGTGATCATAACTCACTGCAACCTCAAACTCCTGGGCTCAAGCAATCCTCCTGCCTCAGCCTCCCAAGTAACTAGGACTATAGGCATGCACCACCATGCCCAGCTAACTTTTAAAAAAAATTTTGTAGAAGGCCAGGCGAGGTGGCTCATGCCTGTAATCCTAGCACTCTGGGAGGCCAAGGCGGGCGGATAACTCAAGGTCAGGAGTTCAAGACCAGCCTGAGCAAGAGCGAGACCCTGTCTCTACTAAAAATAGAAACAAATTAATTGGCCAACTAAAAATATATAGAAAAAATTAGCCAGGTGGCGCATGCCTGTAGTCCCAGCTACTCGGGAGGCTGAGGCAGGAGGATTGCTTGAGCCCAGGAGTTTGAGGTTGCTGTGAGCTAGGCTGATGCCATGGCACTCTAGCCCTGGCAACAGAGTGAGACTCTGCCTCAAAAAAATAAATAAATAAAGTTATTCAGTGCCACACATTGTTCTGATTGCTTTGCTCCACTGACTCTTTCAATCCTCCCAACAATACTGTAAGGCAGGGGTCCTCAAACTACAGCCCGAGGGCCACATGCGGCCTGCCGAGGACATTTATCTGGCCCATTGGGTGTTTTTGTTGCCGCTGCCTGTCCTGCTTAACCACCTACTCCTCCCGGGCCCCACAGTGCGCATGTGTGTAATGTGTGCTGCACTCTCCAATGGCCCTCCAACGGTCTGAGGGACAGTGAACTGACCCCCTGTTTACAAAGTTTGAGGACCCCTGCTGTAAGGTGTAGGCATTCCCATTTTACAGATGATGAAACTGAGAGGCACCCCTGGCTCCAGAGTCTACTGTGTTTAGTACCTGTGCTATGCGGCCCCAATGGTATTGTTTCAGTTATCACATGCTGTTTATGAAGCTGAGGACTTAGCTGGGTGTTTTTCTCCATTGCTAACTCTGTTCTAGCATTTGATCCTCTTTGACCTTTAGATTTCTTTCCTCACACATTGTAGCTGGTCATTGGCATTTTCTATGTGAACACTTGTTTTCTTTTTCAGGTATTTCCTTTGAGGGAATTCGCAATAATTCCATTTTATTTGTTGAAGTTTGTTTCCTTTTTGTAGGTAAAGACTCCCATCTCACCCACCTTGGTTTAGATGTTCACTCAGCCTGATTGAGATCACAGGGGAAATTTTCCCAACATGATGCCCCTGATTCATGTGGGACTGTCGCTTTCTTATTTTATTTTTTTTTTTTGAGACAAAGAGTCTCACTCTGTTGCCCAGGCTAGAGTGCCGTGGCGTCAGCCTAGCTCACAACAACCTCAAATTCCTGGGCTTAAGCAAAATCCTACTGTCTCAGCCTCCAGAGTAGTTGGGACTACAGGCATGCGTCACCATGCCTGGCTGACTTCTTTCTATTTTTAGTAGAGGCGGGGTCTTGCTCTTATTGAGGCTGGTCTCAAACTCCTGACCTCAAGCAATTCTCCTGCCTTGGTCTCCTAGAGTGCTAGGATTACAGGTGTGAGCCATCATGCCCCGCCTTCCTTTTCTGATTTCTCTCCAAAGTTGTTTTCATATGAGTGTAGGCTAAGGCCTTGTGACTCAAACTGTGGTCCCCAGATCAGCAACAGCATCACCCAGAAGCTGGTAAGAAAAACAGAATCTCTGGGCTATCACAGACTTGCTGGGTGAGAATCTGCATTTAACAAGATCCCCAGGTGACTCATATGCACTTTTAAGTTTGAGAGTCATGGAATAGGTGACTTCTAAGGTCCTTATCCTTCTAGAAGTCTATGCTGCTGTGAGAGACATGCCTATGCAGTCATTATTTACTCTTGGCTCTATTGTTTACTGTGTGGTCTTGGACAAATGACTCAACCTCTCTGCCTTTGTTTCTTCCTCTGTAAAAGGGTACCTCCCTTCAAAGAGTCGTTATGTAAAGTGCTCAGAACAGTGCCTGGCACACAGAAGGTGCTATAGAAGTGTCACCGTCTTAACATTGAATATGCTTTCAGGAATACTTTGCGACTCCCAGTTCCAGGTCAGGAGGGGAAAGAGCAAGTTTGAGAACTGATAATGGAACCATTTCCCTGGAAAATGGGTTGCAGAAGCTTCCATATGTCTGAGTGAGAGATCAGGAATTTTAGGCCTGGAGGCTGTACTAAGCAGCTTGTTGAGGCCTTCACCTTTTTTTAAGACTGCAGGACACAGAGCAGATAGTGCCTTCTTCCAGCAATTCCTACTTATGTGACTCACTGGTAGAGCTGCCTGTAAGATAGATTCCTTTTTTTTTTTTTTTTTTTTTGAGACAGAGTCTCATTCTGTTGCCCAGGCTAGAGTACTGTGGCATCAGCCTAGCTCACAGCAACCTCAAACTCCTGGGCTCAAGCAATCCTCCTGCCTCAGCCTCCCAGAGTGCTAGGATCATAGGCCACTTGAGCCACTGTGCCCAGCCCAAGATGATAGATTGATTCTACCAGGTTATACTTCTTCCAGGGACTAAAAGATGAAGATTATGAGATTGGTGTTAGAGGGAAGCCTGTGAAGACAGGTGGGAAATGAAAACAGCACAAATGTGTAAAATAAATGACCATCTCTTATTATTGAACAGTGTGTGGGGGAAGGTCTGTGGCCCAGTCTCATGGCACCCAGAAGATGTTAGTTAATATCACATTGCTCATATTTTCTGCAAGTCTGGTGGCTCCCCTATTCCCAGATCAGGGGTGCTGTGACCTCTTGCTAGACTGGAGCCTTAGGTCACATTCTGCGCACACGTCCCTCCAGGGCCTCCAGCTCAGCCAACACCTCCTTGGGCAGATCCTGGTTGACCTGCTCTGTCAGGTAGCTCCGAATGTCACGAACCTCCTGTTCCCAGAAGTCCTTGGGGAGTGAGAACAGCTGAGTAGTGTCTATGGCTCCGAGGCCACTGAGATCCAAGGCTCCTTCCTTTGGCACCAGCCCAATGGGTGTCTCTTGGGCACTGTCCTCCCCTTCTAAGCGCCGGCAGATCCAGTCTAGTACCCGAGCATTCTCCCCAAAGCCTGGCCACAGGAAGCGGCCTGCCTCGTCGCGCCGGAACCAGTTGACATGGAAGATACGGGGCAGCCGGGCCCCCTTGCGCCCCTCCATGCTCAGCCAGTGTTCTAGGTAGCGCCCAAAGTTGTAGCCAAAAAAGGGTCGCATGGCAAATGGGTCGTGCATGATGATCTTCCCTGAGGAGGGGAGCAGAATAGGTAAGGAATCTTCCTCCTCACCCTGCATCCAGCTAGAGGAAGTTGTGAAAGGTTCATGGTTCTGGAATATCCTCAGGGCAGGTGAAGAGAAGGGATGGGGGAAAGGTAGAAGTGGGAAGAGATGGGACCACTGAGGACTCCAGAAGTGAGCAGGAGGAAGGTCTGGCTGGAGAAGGGAGGGGGTGATGTGGGCACACGGGGAGAGGGAACAATGGGAAGGACACTCACCTTTGTGTTCAGCTGCGGCAGTGGACTCAGAGCGCATGGCGCTGCCCACAAACACCCCATGACGCCAGTTGAAGGCCTCGTATACCAGGGGTACCCCTAGATTACCAATGAACAGGGTCACAGACAGCCCTTTTCTTGGGACCCTCACTTCATCCCTTCTGGTGATCTTGACTCATAGGCTCTTTCCTAGGACCTCAGCTATCCCATTTTCAGACCCCATGCCTGCCCTCAATATTGCATTCACCGGGGAGAACTCTGGAGGCAGACAGCTATAGCTGGACATGCAGGCTGAGGCTCCCTGAGCTTTAAGTACAAGAGGGAGGCAGGCCCTAATACAGCGCTGGACTTTTTACCCAGAAGGCATGGATAAAATGTTGTTTTTCACCCATGTTGTTTACCTTTGGGTCTGCGGCCTCCAAAGATGATGGCGTCAATGGGGACACCCTCAGGGGACTCCCAGGCCGGGTCCATGATGGGGCACTGGCGAGCCGGGGCACAGAAGCGAGAGTTGGGATGTGCACAGGGCTCCTTGTCACCTGGCAGAGGAAATGCAAATATTATCTCTTCCAAGGCCACCCTCAACACACACATACATGTGCGCACGTTCTTGTGCAATTTATTTTTGCCTCGTCAGCTGCCCACAACCTCATGTGAAAAGGAGCAGAGAGAAGGGAGCCAGGACATCTCTCCCAAAAGATCAGGTTATTTAGGCATGATGGTGCTGCCAGCTGAGCTATGTGAGAAAAGAGTGGGAGAAGAATCAGGGGTTCTACAGGGCACTAATGTTTATGCCAAGATATAGGCACTTGGCATTGACCAGTGCTCAAGGGAATGGAGTTATAGATATTGGTGTAAGGTTATAATAACTTTTCCCCCAGAAACCATTTCTTTATTTATGAGATTATTATTTAAATAAACACCCTTTATGGAAGCACTGAAGAATTAAAAAGTAAATAAACAAACACTCAAACCTAAAGCAAAAACTAAGAATGTCAGGTCAGTATTTCAGATAATTGACTTTCCATCAGCAAACCAGGGAAGACAGAATCTTCTAACCTATCAAAATGCAAACAGAAATTGATTTTAAAGCTAACAGAATTCTGGTGATTTCCCTGGGCTTGCTTAGACCCTGATGGAGTGGTAGGGCATGAGGAACTCAGGGAGATAACCTGGAATCCTGGAGAGGGTGGGACCACGTCAGTGGCACATGTGTGAAGCACCACCGTGGGGGCTGTGAATGGGCTCAGTGCCTCTCTGCTGGAGGTTGCCAGTCAGACCTGGGGAGTGAGGGAGCCACGGAGCCAAAACTCCCACCCTCTCCACCCCCCAGCTCCTGTCTCCCCTCTCAGATAAGAGCCATTCCTCATCACCTCCAGTGCAGGACTCTGGGATAGGGTATTGTTTTGGGGATTGAAGCTGGGCACAAGATGCCCTAGTTATACCCCTGAATCCAGAGATGATTAAAGGCTTGGGGAACTGGCCTGTGGGGAATGATTAAAGTTTCTTGGATTTCTCAGTTGGGTGGGAAGGCTCAGGGGCTTAATGATGGTGTTAGAGAAAATAAAGGGTGATTAGACGAGGGGAGGAGGGTGACTGCTAGGCCAGCATGGCAAACTTGAATATAGGCTTCAGCGACCACAAGGCCACCCTCCCCTGCCATGCTCTTCTTTGCCCCAACCACCCCCTCTGTCTCTGGGCTCTCTGAGTACACAAGGCCACAGAAAGAAAGCTGAAAGTACAGGGTGCAGAGTAGGGGGAGAGGTGGGGCCCCAAGGCCCCCTGGGGTAATGACAGGATTAAGAAACTAGCTCTGAAAGACTAAAGTGCTGGTCTGAGCTAGTCTGTAAGAAGGACTGGGGTGTCTGTGTTTGAGAGACAGGGGAAAGGTGAGCATAACAATACTGACCTTTAGACTATTTTTTTATAGTCACTGTGTTGCCTGCGCTAGAGTGCCATGGCATCAGCCTAGCTCACAGCAACCTCCATATCCAACTCCTGAGCTTAAGCAATCCTTCTGCCTCAGCCTCCCGAGTAGCTGGGACTATAGGCATGCACCACCATGCCCGGCTAATTTTTCCTATATATTTTTAGTTGGCCCATTAATTTCTTTCTATTTTTAGTAGAGACGGGGTCTCACTCCTGCTCAGGCTGGTCTAGAACTCCTGACCTTGAGCGATTCACCTGCCTTGGCCTCCTAGAGTGCTAGGGTTACAAGTGAGAGCCACCACGCCCGGCCTAGGGGGACAGTGAGAGCCAAGTGGCAGGAGGAGAGTCAGGACAGGGGAGGAGGCAGGCTTCCTCTTTTCCTAATGGGCCAAACTTTATGAATTATGCCTTGAGCCCAATTCCTTCTGTAGCAACTTTCAAAACAGTTCTTCCTTTTCCTTTTATTTATTTAAAAACCAGCCCCTCTCTCTCTCTCTCTCTCTCTCTCTCTCTCTCTATATATATATAATATATATTATATATATTTTTTTTTTCCGAGACAGAGTCTTACTCTGTTGCCTGGGTTAAAATGCCATGGCATCAGCCTAGCTCACAGCAACCTCAAACTCCTGGGCTTAAGCAATCCTCCTGCTTCAGCCTCCCGAGTAGCTGGGACTATAGGCATGCACCACCATGCCCGGCTAATTTTTCCTATATATATTAGTTGGCCAATGAATTTCTTTATATTTTTAGTAGAGACGGGGGTCTCACTCTTGCTCAGGCTGGTTTTGAACTCCTGACCTTGAGTAATCCCCCGCCCCCCCTTGGCCTCCCAGAGTGCTAGGATTACAGGCATAAGCCACCACACCTGGCCCAATTATTGAGAATTTACGATGTATTCAGCAGTGTGCTAAACCATTTTTATGCATTATTTAATCCTCCAATGACCTGAGGAGATAGGCACTATAATAACTACCCCATTCGACGGATGGAGAAACTAAAGCTTAGGGAGGTTAAGCAACTTAGCTGAACCACAAAACCAGTGACTGGTGGAGCTGGGACATAAACTGGGATCTGCCTGGTACTGGAAACTGCAAACATTCATAATTTCCTGTGCCTCCCAGGGATCCAAGAAGATGGCTGGAGGTTGTGGGGAAGGCTTCTCCAACATTCAAGTGCTAAGCCCTGGGGCTGTGTCATAACTTCCCCACCCCACATACCAGGTTTCCAGGGTCTGCCCAGCCAGGAGGTCACAGTGACACCAGGTGGAAGAGGCTGGTCAATCCCCTCCCAGTACACACCACCATCGCTGGTCTCAGCCACGTTGGTGAAGAGAGTGTTACTCTGGATTGTGGCCATGGCGTTGGGATTGGTGGTGGCAGAGGTGCCAGGAGCCACCCCGAAGAAGCCATTCTCAGGGTTGATAGCCCGGAGTCGACCTGTCGGGAGGAGAAGTGAAAGAAAGGAAGGGTCGACTGGGCAATGTTGATATGTGAGACTGAAGAAGGTCCTGCTCCCCCTCTCCCTGGCCTGAGCTGGACCCTCGATCTGAGCGGGAAAGGTTTGTGTCTCTAGGGTGGGTGGGGCTGCTGGAGGTATGGGTCAGGGTCTCACTGACAAAGCTCACCATGGACATTAGAGGAGGGACTCCTCAGAGCTGAATCGAGAGTGTGACCCAAGGGACCCTCACCTTCACTGTCAAACCTCATCCAGGCGATGTCATCCCCCACACACTCCACTTTCCAGCCAGGCAGTGCGGGCTGCATCATGGCCAGGTTCGTCTTGCCACAGGCACTGGGGAAGGCAGCGGCCACATAGCGCTTTTTCCCTGCAGGGTTGGTGATGCCCAGGATCTGTGTGTTAGGGAGAGGAGGGAACAGGAGGAGGTCACCAAAGGTCAGGGCATAGTCTGCATGCAGAAGAACAGCTAGGGGTTAACAGGTGCACAGCCCTGCCATCAGGCCTGGCGTAGTGGCAGGGGAAGCCCCAACATTTAGCGCCTGGGGCCAAAGCTTTGGCCTTTGAGTAGAGTCTCTGCCTAATAGCCTGGCACTTGGCAGGAAGGAGGCAAGGCTGAGGCAGACTAACCAGGTACCCTCGCCCTCCCCCAATGCCTCACCGCCTGCAGCTGCTGGGATCCTCACCAGCATGTGCTCCGCCAGCCAGCCCTCATCCCGGGCCAGCCTCGAGGCAATGCGCAGGGCAAAGCACTTCTTGCCGAGCAGAGAGTTGCCACCATAGCCACTGCCGAAGGACACGATCTCCCGCTGGTCAGGCACGTGGCCAATCAGGGTTTTCTCTGGGTTGCATGGCCACTGGCTCAACGGCTCCCCTGGGGACAATGGGGTCATGGGCCTGCTGGCAGCAGCATCAGGAACTGGGGTGTCAGGGGCCAGAGGAATCAGGGGTTGGCAGGAGAGACATGTCGGAGCAGTGGAGGTGCCAAGGGGTGGCCAAAGCCCCCCCCCTCCAGGCTCATGGTAATCATCAGTTCCCATGGCCCTATTCTTAGACATGAACTGACTTTTCTCAATCTTAGGCAAACTGCTTTGCAAACAGCCTCACCCCCAGCCCAGACTGCTGCCCTGGATCTTGGGAACTAGGCTGTCAGAGAGGACAGGTTTTTAGGGTCTATGGATAGGTAGGATTTGGGGCTCTTTTTGAGTATAAGGAGTCTCCTGGATCCTCCCCTGGGCAGAGCAGGCACTCACCTTGCCCAGTGAGGGGCTGGCCCACGGAGTGCAAACACTTAACGAAGTCACCATCTCCCAGGGCATGAAGCACAGGTGTCCCCAGCCGGGTCATAATACGCATGCTGGCCACCACATAGGCTGAGTCTGTGAGCTGCACCCCAATACGGGACAGTGGGGAGCCCACAGGACCCATGCTGAATGGAAGCACATACATGGTACGGCCTGTGGAGGAAAACGTCCCCTGGATGAAGGAGTCCACACTTGTTCATACCTTCGGTGCCCCTGCCTCTGTGTCCCTGCCCTGGTTACCCTGCATGCAGCCTGGAAACCTCTCGTTCACAGCTTGCTGGAACTCAGCTGGGGACATCCAGTTGCCCAGCTGTCCACGGGCCCCACCAGCTGGGAGGGGCACCGTGTCCCTCTGAGAAGGAGTTACAATCACCGTCTTGCTCTCTACTCGTGCCACGTCCTTGGGGTCTGTGCGGGCCAGCCAGCTGGGGGAGAGGGGGTTGTCAGGAAGGCGGTGGCCAGCAGGTCTCCCTCATCCCCAGACCCACTTTTTCAAGTCCAACTTTGACTCCAGGTCTTCTGTTGGCCTTATTTTTCCCCCATTCAATCACATCTCAGTCCCTTCTTCTGGGCTTTGTTCCATTTAAGGGGTGGTTCCCCAAGGTGCCAGCCCTCTGGGGACTCTGCCCCTGGCAAAAGCTCATTGAACTGGTGAAGGGGAAAAAAAAGCAAAGGCTCTTATTTGTACCAGCTTCTTCATTTAATATAAAAATACAGACCAATCCCAGCTCCTGAGCCTGTCTCCCGCAGAGCTCCCATCGTGCTCATTCCATTGGGATGGTCTAGTTAAATCTGATTGTTTTCATGAACCCACAGTGGCCTTAGTCCAAGTAGCTGCCCCCATCTCGCAGGCTGCTGGGCTCAGGGCTTACCAGTTATTGTACTTGGGGAGCTTTCGGATGAGGCCTTGCTGCTCCAGCAGGGTCAGTGTGGCAGTATTCTCAGCCTCAGTCCCATCACAGATGTGGATGCCCTCTGGTTGGCACAGGCGGGCGCTTCGCTCCACGAAGTTGCGAACCCCAGCAGGCAGCTGGGCCAGATCTCCACTAACCACTCGCAGGGTCTGGATGCTGCGGCATGATGACCAGCCCAAGGGGCTCAGCCCATGCCAGCTAAGCCTGCAAGAGAGGAAACAGGGAGGCGATGGGCTAGCTGCTGTCATGGAGGCTGAACAAGGCCTCCTTGGAGGGGGACAGAGAGCTTGGGCTTCTGGGGAGTGTGCTAAAGCATGTCTGGGTGCAGGCACCACAAAGAGCATGTTGGGTTCAGGCCGCGTGCATTTTGTGGCCTTATGAGGTTTAATGAGATGTCTCCTGGTCAGCAAGGGACAGGTATGGCCAAATGAGCAAAAAAGGCACATGCCTGGCTGTGTGGCTGTGTATGTGCAGGCATGCTGAAGTTTATGCATGCATAGCCCATGTCCATGTTTAACTATGTCTGGTCAATGTTTAGAAATAAGCAGGTACCTTTTGTCTAAGTGTCAAGAAACTGTGCCCAGGTGACAGCTTCATGTGTCTGGTGTTTGAAGCCTTATCCATTTTCTTTCCACTCTCAAGTACAGTGTTTTACAAGTTAATATGGCAGGTGTTTTTATTATTTTATTTTATCTGGCATGTATGCTTATGACTGTGAAAGCCTCAAGCAAAGGACCCAGTCTTTGAAGTGGTACAGGCTTGTTCCAGTGCCAGGTTTCTAGATTAGGGCTCTTGCACCAAGAACTGCTGACTGGATGTTGGAGTTCCAGGCACTGAATCTGATGCTGCCCACCTGGATCAACAATGATTGCATAAAATGTTGCCATTTGGTAAGTATTTTTGAACTGCGTAGAAGGCTGACCATTGGGTGTCACTGGCTGGGGTTCATGCCTTGAGTCCTAGGACGGCAGGGGCCCTACTGTCTCTCCTCTTGCACACCTGGGAGACAGAGAAGCAGGGTCTGCTCTGATTGGCCTGGACCCAAGGTGAGTGAACCAGAGAGGGCAAAGGCCAAGAGAGGGAATTACCCTCCTCCTATGCCAGTTTCCCACCAGAAACTGCCCCCACGCACCCAGGACAGCATGACCCTGTGCTTCCTCTGGCTCTCTTTCCTAGTGGCCATATGCCTAGACAGCTTTGGTGGTTGTGGTAGGGCAGAACAAGAGACTGCAGGGAGCTCAGACTCAGAGAGTGTAAGCCTGGGGAAGGCAAAACTCAGACCATGGATGTGGAAGCTTGAGTCTGGCTGGGATGGAAGGTGAGGCGGTTTCCTCGGTCTGGGCAGGATAAGCACCCAGTGTGGCCCCAGGGGCAGGGAAGGAGGGCTACTGGGACCTGGGTCTGTTCCTGCCTCAGAGAATTGTTTTCCCTGAGCATTAATTTTTTTTTTTTTTTTTTTGAGACAGTCTCACTGTGTTGCCCGCACTAGAGTGCCGTGGTGTCAGCCTCACTCACAGCAACCTCAAACTCCTGGGCTCCAGCGATCCTCCTGCTTCAGCCTCCCGAATAGCTGGGACTACAAGCATGTGCCACCATAGCTGGCTAATTTTTTCCATATATTTTTAGTTGGCCAATTAATTTCTTTCTATTTTTAGTAGAGACGGGTCTCACTCTTGCTCAGGCTGGTTTCGAACTCCTGACCTTGAGCGATTCTCCCGCCTCGGCCTCCCAGAGTGCTAGGATTACAGGTATGAGCCTCCACCCCAGCCTTCCCTGAGCATTACTTTTCAAGGCTCACAGTCTCAGGTTATCTCTTGTGAAGCCCCCATATCCTCTTCTAGTCCCTAAAGTGGTAACTTCTTCCCTTCCTCCAGGGACCACCCACAAGGCTGGCCAAGTGGAACTGCCTATGGGAGATAGGTGGGTCAGTTCAGACTCTGGGACAATAGCTGGGGAGAAGAGAGGCTACAGAGAGTTGAGAGGAGGCCATGTAAGGGGACTGGCAGGCGAGTAGGACAAGCCTAGGGGCTCCAGGCCTGGGCAGAGAAGAAGCCAGCCATGTAAGACAGCAAGGCGACTTGGCCCCCTCCTCCCACCTTGCTTCCACCCTGCCAACCCCCGCCCCCCAACCCTGCCCCGGGTCCCTCTGGCTGCGCTGGGCTTCCAGTCCGAGGGAGGCCGGCAATGGATGTTTACCTTCTACTCGCTTTAGGGAGCCCTCACCTCAGTCCCCCAGGAGCTCATATACTCTTGCCCCCAGGGGGGCCCTGTTTCTCGCAGCACCCTAGGGCGCGGGCTGGGAGCCCCTCAGAGGTCTGAGTTACATCTGGGGAGGAAAGGAAGATACACGGAGGCAGGGCTCAGCAGAGGCAAGCGAGGAGGGGGAGGAAGTTCTTCTGAGTGGCAGACAGAGACGGCGCGGCCAGGGACAGGCAAGGCCGAGACAGGCAGGAGCAGAAGGAAACCAGGGGCCCTGCGCGGCTGACCTCCGGGATCGAGGCACAGTCGCCCCTGCGCGCCTCCTCCTAGGATGGGAAGCTGGCGGAGGCTGCGAGGAGGGGAGCGCAACCGGCAGCCCCGAGGGGGCGAGCGCGGTGGAAGGTGCGGGTCGGCCCCGGGCTGGGGGTCACTCACCGCAGGCCGGGGCGGTACACAGCGGCCATGGCACCTGGGCGGGGGCTGCGGGGTGGCCGCGGGAACCGAGCGGAGCCGGGGAGGCGTGGAAGGCGGGGAAGGAGAGAGCGCCGAGAGGCCAGCGGGAGCTGAGGCTGGGCGGGAGGTGCTTAAAAAGGAGGCGGGCAGGCGCAGGGGCGGAACCTAGCGGGGCCGGCGCGACCCTCCCTCCGCCCCGCCTGCGGGCCAGATTCCTCGGCCGGCGGCTCGGGCTCCTAGGTCAGCCCGCGCCCAGCCCCCAAACCCATCTCTCCCATTGGAGGACTGGGTGGCTCCTCGCCCCCGACTTCGAGGCCCCGCCTCCTGTATATGATGTAACTTTGAGGACTCTTGCTCCCGGGAGATAGCGACTGAGAGACACTGGATGGCAAACAAGCTAGCAACGAGGGGCGAGGCCAGGGGCGGGAGTCCATGGGGGCTAGGCGTCAAGAAGCTCAGGGGTTGGGCATTGCCTTTCCAGTTCTTCTTGGGGACCGGCCACTCTGAGCCCCAGGGTTTTCTGTTTTCCAAGGCCCCAGGGCTAAGGTCTCCTTAGTCCCCACCTCTTAAATCTCTGTTTCTTCTCCTGATCAGGGTCCTTTCTGCCTTACCATGAAATGGGATCTCTCCACCCCAGGAAGATGGTGCCCTGCTCTGGTCATTCTCTCCACACTGCGCTGGGGAACTCATCTGCCCCCCTCCCCCCATCACCATAAAGTCCTCAGGTAATTTCTCAAGTTATGTCTCCATTCAGACATCTCTCTTCAACTTTAGATTACTGGATATCACCTGAAATGCCATAACACCTCAAACTCAGCCTGTGGTGGGCATCTGCTCAGCATCCATTCCCCCTTTCTGGTAATAGCACCCTGATTTTCCTTTGGGGAGCCATCTCCTCAGTCTGTATGGTTATCTAGGTCTGATCTCACCCATCCTGGGGGTAGGGTCTCAGCTGGACCAATTTTATATTCCTCATTGTGGCCACAGCATTCAGGGATGGGCATGAGATCCATCTCTGGCACTTTTCCTGTGAACTTTAGAAGCGAGCTCTCTTTCTGCTGGGGTTGCTGAGCTGGTGGAATTAAGGCTGGAGCTACTGGGTGTCAGTTTGGCCCTGCAAAGCAGGAGCCCGTCTGAGACATGTCGACGGAAAAGAAGCCAAACTCTGTAAAATAATTTAGGGAAGTTTATTCTAAGTCAAATTTGAGGACCATGACCTGGAGCCACGCCCAAGAAGATTTGAGCAAGCGGACTTGCTGTGGTTGGGTTATAGTTTGGTTTTATACATTTCGGGGAGACAGGGTGAAGTCATAAATCAAAACATTGAAGGCATATATTGGTTTGGCCTGAAAATGTGGGTCATCTCAAAGGGGGGCAGGTGTTAAAGGTTATAGGTGGGTTTAAAGATTCTTTGACTTGTAATTGGTTAAACAAATGAAGGTTTTGTCTAAAGGCTTGGAATGTTTTAAGATAAGGAAGTCTGTTCATCAGAGACAATCTAGGGCCATCATGTAAATTGAGGACCTGCTGGTTTGTCTTGCATAGCCTTAGGCCTGTCTTGCATATCTATAAGGGAGGGGGGCAGGGGGAGGCCTGTCTGACCTCCCTTTCTTAGTTGGCAACTCAGTTTTAGGGTATCCTCTTGGCCAGGAGGGGGTCCATTCAGTCAGCTGGTGGGGGAGGAGGGAGATGGGAATAATTAAGATTTCATTTTAGTTCACAGATAGAAGCCAGCCTGGATGGAGGAAGCAGAGCAGAAGAGTGGAGGGCAACAAACAGATTCCTGATTTCACTTATAGTAATCAATAAATTTCTTTCTTTCTTTTTTTTTTTTTTTTTTTGAGACAGAGTCTCACTTTGTTGCCCAGGCTAGAGTGAGTGCCGTGGCGTCAGCCTAGCTCACAGCAACCTCAAACTCCTGGGCTCAAGCGATCCTTCTGTCTCAGCCTCCCAAGTAGCTGGGACTACAGGCATGAGCCACCATGCCCGGCTAATTTTTTCTATATATATTAGTTGGCCAATTAGTTTCTTTCTATTTATAGTAGAGACGGGGTCTCGCTCTTGCTCAGGCTGGTTTCGAACTCCTGACCTCGAGCAATCCGCCCGCCTCGGCCTCCCAGAGAGCTAGGATTACAGGCGTGAGCCACCGCGCCCGGCCATCAATAAATTTCTTCTCTTGCTCAAGCTAATTTTAAGTGAATTTCTCTCACTTACAACAGAAACAATACTGATTCTCAGATTTCTCAGGTGTATGCTGGAACACAGCAGGATAAGAAGAGCTGGCCTCCAGCCATGGGCCTTGCTGCTGGTCCCCATCTCTTCCCACTCAGGCTCCAGCCTACACTCTACCTCACATGTATGTATTTGGACCTGTTTTCCCCAGTTTCTACATCCAAACTCTGTCCACACCTACCCAGCTGTAAGCAGTTGTTTCTTAGCCACCCTTTGCCACCCTTTGGGCTTAAGGGTGTGCACACTGTTGGCAGCATGGTTAACCTAAAGTTCATCATATCATCTATAACCCTGCTCCTGCTCCCATAGTTTCCTATCTCAGCAGATGGCACCACCATCTAGCCAACTGCCCCAGAGGGAACCTGAATTAGTCTGGACTATTCTTTTCTTACCCTCCATAGCCAATCAGACACCAGTGCCTTTGGATTTGTACTTCACGATTAGCCCTCAAATCTGTGTCTATCCCCATGGCCACTGCCTTAGTTCAAGGCTTATCTCTCACCTGGCTTCAGGTGATAGATTCCAAGGCACCTCTGCAAACACCACCCCTCTCCTTCCACTAAGCCTTGCTCCCACCCCATGTGCATGAATTCACTTTGGAGAGTTAAGAGAGAGGAGTAACATTGGGGTGTGGACAGTAGGTGTGCATAATCTCATTCAGTTTTGCAACAACTCTATTTTACAGATGCAGATGCTGAAGCTTAGAGAGGGTAAGTCACACATCTGGTCAGCAGGAGAAATGGAATCCAAATCCAAGCCTTTTGATTCTAATTACCAAGTCTGCCCACACACCTGGAATCCTATACTATTCCCTTGATCTATCATTTAAAAATTAGATTAGGCCAGCGGTGGCTCACACCTGTAATCCTAGCACTCTGGGAGGCCAAGGCGGGTGGATTGCTCAAGGTCAGGAGTTGGAAACCAGCCTGAGCAAGAGTGAGACCCCGTCTCTACTAAAAAAATAGAAATAAATTAATTGGCCAACTAAAAATATATAGAAAAAATTAGCCGGGCATGGTGGTGCATGCCTGTAGTCCCAGCTACTTGAAAGGCTGAGGCAGTAGGAATGCTTGAGCCCAGGAGTTGGAGGTTGCTGTGAGCTAGGCTAATGCCACGGCACTCTAGCAAGGGCAACAGAGTGAGAATCTGTCTAAAAAAAAAAAAATCAGATTATATCACTCTCAGGCCTAAAGTCTCTTCAAGGTTTCCTCTAACACTTGGCATCCAATGTCCTTCATAATCTGACTCCTATTTTGCCAATGTTATCATTTCTACCTTCTCACCTTGCTCACTTTCCTCCTACATAGTGAGCTCTGCAGTTTCCAGAGCAGTTCTGTGAACTCTTCCTGCCCCTTAGGACTCAAATTAAACATCACCTTATAAATTAGCCTTTTCTGTTTGCCACTTAGAATGAACATCTATTTAATCTGTGTTGGTTCTATCCCATGTGTGAACTAAAATAAAATTTTAAGGCTCACCTGGCCACCGGCTGACTGAATGGACCCCCTTGTGGCCAAAGGATTATCCCAAAACTAAATTGCCTGCCAGGAGGAGGGAGGTCAGACATGACTCATCATGCCCCCCTCCCTTCTTGGGAACATCCTTTGTAACCCATTAACAGGCCTAAGGCTACGAAAGACAAACCTGCAGGTCTTCAAACCCACCTATAACCTGTAAGCCCCTCTGGCCCCCCCTCAAGATGGCCCACCTTTTGGGGCCAAACCAATGTATGCCTCCCACGTATTGATTTATGACTTTACCTGTAACCCCTGTCTCCCTGAAATGTATAAAACCAAACTGTAACCCAGCCACCCCGAGTCTACTTGCTCAGGGTTCTTGGTCGTGGCTCTGGGTCATGGTCCTCAAATTTGGCTCAGAGTAAATCTCTTTAAAATTATTTTACAGAGTTTGGTCTTTTTTTCGGGTGACACATGTATATACCTGTATTTTTGTACTTATCACACTTTATTATACTGTAGTTACTTTTGCATCTGCATAGTCCTCACTAGAATGTTAGGTCCTTTAGAGAAGGACTCAAATTTCAGTCTTGTTTTTATCCTAGCTCCTAGCAGTATCTGGCTTGTAATAGGCATTTAATAAATGTTGGTTGAATGAAAGAATGAACAAGTTCCATGTTTCTGAATCCTTCTCCCCGTCCCCGCCCCCCCCCCATCACTTCTTCAGGTTTAGGCAGACTGAACAAGGGGCTCATGTGAGGATTTCCTTGCACTGCTGATTATCCCTTATCTGCCACACACTTTTGTTCAGTTCAGTTGTCTGCTGCAAGACCTCCCCCCCCCTTCACCCCAGCCTGGCCCGCCAGCTGGCCCCGTGTCCAAGGAGTGCCACCAGAGGGCAGGGTGTGACCAGCCTTGCCCTGGTCTGCATTCCCCTCCACTCTCCCGCCCAGGAGACCTCTTGTTTCAGCCCTTGGATGTCTCACAGACACCCGTAGTGGACGCTGTGATGGGCAGCAGCCGAGATCTCCACTTCAAGATCATGGCACTCATTGTCCCAGCTGCTAAGTGTTGGCTGGTGATGGCTCGCAGCTGACTATTTCCTTGAGTACTATCTGTGGCTGAAGGGAGTTCTCAGCAAATGCAACGTCCCCTTTCCAGGGGCAGTGTGTATCCAGTGACTGGTTGTTATAGAGGTACAAAGCCCTAGTCCCCTTGCCTCATTCTGGGACAACTGTGAAGGTCCATCCCAGCCCCAGAACTCCTCTGGGCCTAGCTGATTGCAACTGCAATGCAATTCAACTTTGCTCTCTCTCCAGGCCTGCTGCTCTCACTTTCTTTGAAAGGCCTCCCCAGTAAGCCACTTGTACACAAGGTTCTAGCTCAGGCTGTGTTTTCAGGTGCAGATATTCTCCAGACTCAACCTGGATACTGTATTAGCCCCCTAACCTGACTCTGATTCCACTGTTGCCCTCCTCCACAGACACAAAGTACCCACGTGATCTTTTCAAACACAAATCTGATCACACCCTATTTTTGCAAAAAACCCTTTAGTAGCTTTCTCAGTGCTCTTAGAATAAGGCCCAAATCCTTAACGTGGCCTACCAGGCTGCACATGAATGCTGCACAGACTCAGCTGGACTCTGGCTTGCCTCTGCTAACTTCTCCAACCTCACCTCACAACCTCACCTTCACAATTCTCCCACCTTTCTTGCTTTCTATTCTCTGGCTACATTGGTCTTTTTTTCAGTTTGGTGAACACTTTCTACCTCTTTCCTGCCTTACAGCCTTTGTGTATGTTCTTCCTACAGCCTGAAATCTCCACCCTTCAGGCAGGGTCACCTGACCAGTCTCAGTTTAATGTGACTTCCTTAGGCAACCTGTCCCTGTAACATAGCGCCCCGCACCCCCAGCTCCTCATGTTAGATTGAGTCTTCATGAAATAAAATCTCATAGCACTCTGCCCTTCCCCTTCATAGCACACTCATCACAGTTAAAGTGGTTTGTTTTTATGTAGGCACATCTCTAACATATGTAGGGCCTGGGGCAAGAGTACAAATAGAGGCCCACAAACCTTGTGTTTAAATATTTAAAATGTATAACTCAAGTGAACAAACTATTAAACAAAATATGTTTTATTCTTCTACCTGGAACATAAATACTTCATAATGGCCTGGAAGGCCCGGTTCAAATTTGGATTTTATTTGGAATCCTCAGGATTCTGCAGCAGAATGTTGCTGGTGTAGGGAGAGGCAGTTTTGGCCACTGGATCTCAGCTGGACTCATTGCTCTTGCCACCCTTGCCACCATCTTGGACTGCAAGGGGCTTTGTGTACAAGCATGTGGACCTTCCGTCTGCCCATCCCAACTGTGTCCATAGCCAACTGCAAGCAGCCACCCCTTGGACCTCAGGATGTATGTATCAGCAGTATGCTCTAGCCATGAGAGGGCAAACTCAGGGAAGAGGTCCATGTGGGCCCTAGAAGTGGGCTTGGGCCCGTTGGGCAGGGCATTCCTAGATATCTGGAGTATGGTCTTCAGGAGACTGGGGTATGGGCAGAGAAAGGTTGGACTCCTCACCCATGGGGTGGGACACAGCCAGAGGAGGGCCAGAGTGGAGCCTTCTAAAAGCACAGGGCCCAGGGCAGGCGCCACTCTTGCCTGAGCCTAAGGGCAATCACTTGATGTTTTTCTATTTCATCAGTCTGTGAGCTCCATGAAGGCAGGGCTGGTGTCAGTCTAAGTTACTGAGGTATTTCTAATGCCTAGTACAGACTAGGTGTTTAATATGTATGTCAATGGTAAAGAAGCCAAACTCTCTGAAATAATTTAAAGAGGTTAATTCTGAGTCAAATTTGAGGACTATGACCCAGAGCCATGCCCTTGAGCAAGAGGACTCGCTGTGGTCGGGTTACGGTTTGGTTTTATACATTTCAGGGAGATAGGGGTTACAGGTAAAGTCATAAATCAATACATGGGAGGCTTACATTGCTTTGGCTTGAAAAGGTGGGTCATCTCAAAGTGGGGCCTTGTAAGTTACAGGTGGGTTCAAAGACTCTTTGACTTGTAATTGGTTAAAAAAAATGAGGCTTTGTGTAAAGGCTTAGAATGTTTTAAATTAAGATAAGGAAGTATGTTAATCAGAGACAAGCTACTGGTCATATATAAATTGTTATATTGTTATAATTGTTTATTTTGTTATATAAATTGAGGACCTGTAGGTTTGTCTTATAGCCTTAGGCCTGGCAATGAGTTACAAAGGATATCTACAAGAAGGGGGATGGTTATGATGGGGCATGTCTGGTTACCCTCTCTTGGCTGGCAACTCAGTTTTAAGGTATCTTCTTGGCCAGGAGGGGGTCCATTCAGTCAGCTGGTGGAGCCTTAAAATTTTATTTTAGTTCACACATATTTGTCAGTGAATGTAGGAGGTACATCAGGAAGAGGCTTGAGGATTTGGATCTATTACTGAAGATCTAGATACCAAGAGGCAGGTCTAGTCTCACAGGTTTCCAAAACTGGGGGTGCAGGACAGAGGAGATGGGGGTGGCATCTTGGAATGCTGACTCTGTCTCATTTCTCCTCTTTCCTCCTTGTTTTCCATCCTACTCCTGCAGGCCCTTTGCCTGCCTAGCCCTCTTTCCTCATGGTCCAATATCCCTCTGTCCATATCTTCCTACCTTCCTGTCCTTTGGCCACTGGTCTTCCTCTGCAGCTAACTATGTGTCTGTTCCCCAGCATTGGATTCTAGCTCTTGGTCCCCAATCTTACTTCCCTCTGTCCCTATCTTTTCTTTATCTTTCTTTTCTTTTTTTCCTTTTTCTCTTCTCTTTTTTTCCTTTTTCTCTTATTACTTTGCCAGGAAACCTCTGTCCCTATCTTCTGTCACTTTTGTTCTTCTGGTCTCTTGCTCCTCTTCACCTCTCCTGCTGTCCCTTACTCCCTTCTTGGTCCCCTCTTGGAAGACTTCCTCTCTTTCTTTTATTCCCCATGACCCATTGCTCATCTCTTCCATGAGCCTACATCCCTCTCTTTCTTTTTTTTATTTGAGACAGAGTCTCACTCTGTTGCCCAGGCTAGTGTGCTGTGGCATCAGCCTAGCTCACAGCAACCTCAAACTCCTGGGGTCAAGCGATCCTTCTGCCTCAGCCTGGGACTACAGGCATGCACCACCATGCCCGGCTAATTTTTTCTATATATTTTTAGTTGTCCAGCTAATTTTTTTCTATTTTTAGTAGAGACGGGGTCTCACTCTTGCTCAGGCTGGTCTCAAACTCTTTTTTTTGAGACAGAGTCTCGCTTTGTTGCCCAGGCTAGAGTGAGTGCCATGGCATCAGCCTAGCTCACAGCAACCTCAAACTCCTGGGCTCAAGCAAGCCTATTGCTTCAGCCTCCAGAGTAGCTGGGACTACAGGCATGTGCCCCCATGCCCAGCTGATTTTTTTTTCTATATATATTAGTTGGCCAATTAATTTCTTTCTATTTATAGTAGAGATGGGGTCTCGCTCTTACTCAGGCTGGTTTCAAACTCCTGACCTTGAGCAATCTACACGCCTTGGCCTCCCAGAGTGCTAGGATTACAGGCGTGAGCCACTGCCTGGCCCCTTTTTTCCCTTTAACCCAAATCCCTGTGGAACCTCTGACTTGTTCTGCCCTCTCTCTCGGATCTATACCTACTGCCTCCTTAGCTAGTCTCCTAGCCTCCTCCCTTCCTCTGTTCTGTCATTCCTGGAGACCACCTTGGCTTCATCTTTTTCATCCCAATTTCCCTGTCCTCAGATGTCCTGAGCCAGTCAGTCTCAATATTTATTTCCGAATCTCCAAGTAAGCCCCTGGGAAGGGCTCCACCTTCAGGGTCCCCACTGGCTGCCGCAGCCTCCCCCCTCTGTCCCCTTGGTCCTTTCCTCTGGCCTGTCCTGAGTCCGGGCCTCACTCCTCTGACTCCTTTCCCCAGTTAGTGGTGCCTGGTCTGAGCCCCTAGCAGCTCAACTCACCTGAGCTTGTTTAGTCTGACTCTCTTAGCTCGTTAGCGGCTTAGCCCTCCCACCTCCTTTGAGCCCTCCAGTAAACAAGGGGATCAGAGCAGATCTGACAGCTGCTGGGTGGGGGCAAGTGTCTGGCCAGGCCAGAGCGTGCACGAAAAACGGCCTGCATTCAACACTTCCCATTCCTTCCTCAACGAGGGAAATTCTAGCGTCTCTTTTCTGAGTGTCTACCTTAGAGCTACAGTCCACAGGCTTGTGTGTGGTTACCTGTTTCTGCAATCCCTGTTCCCGTTTTGTGGTTGGTTCCCGGACCTTAGGCTTTTTGATTTTTCAAAGAATTCAGCACTAGATCAGGCAATCACACACAGAAGCCTTTTTATTTGAATGATGATGATGGTCACTGCTCCATAAAACAAAGGCTCAGGTGTAGGAAGAGAGTGATGTCATCTGATCTAGGTCTTCTAATATGTGTGTAGAGAGCTTGGTAGGAGAGAAAATACACACACACACACACACACACACACACACACACACGGGAAGCTGGGTTGACTATAGACATTTTGTAGACCAGGGTTCTTAAACTTTTGTGCACATCAGCATTGCTTGGAGGGCCTGTTAAAATACAGATTTCTGGGTTGCACCCCAGAGTTTCTGATTCATTAGGTTTGACTTGACACCACAGAAATTGTGTTTCGAACAAATCCCCAGGTGATACTGATGCTGCTGCTCTGAGGATCCCATTTTGAAAACCACTAACTTCGATAAATTGCATCTATCAGCTCTTCCCCAACACCTAAGGCTGGGAGGTATTTTTTATAACTGATGACCCTGGGGGCTGACAGATGTCCATGTCTCTCTCTGGGTTGGGAAAGAGAACCCTTAACCCATGGGAATATTTAGGTGTCCTCAGAAGGTAGGGAATAGCTTTTAACTCCTGGAGTTCTATTCTAGCACAGACCCTATTTAAACAGCTTCGGACAGGTTTAAACATCTCCTTGGCTAATTCCTAGGATCCCTGTTCCAACTCCTACTTGAGGATGATAGCTCTAAGAGGTGTTAGGGGATTAGGCTGAAAATGTAGGTCACCCCCCAGCCATCTGGGAACTAGAATGAGTGAGTGAGGAGGAGAGAGGGGCAGAGACACACACAGGGAGAAGGTGAGGGCGTGTGAGGGCAGTTACAAAAGTGTCTCTGATGGATGGGTGGTAACTAGATTTCAGTGTTCCTTAGTGGCCCAGAAGGAAGGAGCAGAGTTCCCTGTTCTCTCTTCTCCTTCTCCCAAGCTGGTCTGCCTGTCCTGGGGCAAGAGTGGGAGAGGCTGGGGATGGGATGGCCCAGTCCTGCAGATTCTCCCCGGGGAAAGCTGCTTTTCATTCTGATGTGATGGCTAAGAGGGGTGTAAGGCCAGTCAGGGTGAAGGTGGGGCAAGGGCAGAAATGTGAGCATTCTTGAAAACCTTGAGACCCAACAGTCCAGGTGAGAGTGGGTTCAGGAGAGCTTGTATTCCCCAAAGACACTAATGAGGGGCTTTGGAAGGCAAGAGTTCTGGGAGCTTGTCTGGCCCAGGCCCAGGCTTCAAGTGGCAGAGGGCTGAGCATTGTGTTTACTTGCAGGGGTGCTGGTTGGGGTCCATGTGGCCCTCCGTAGTCTGGGAAACTGGTGGGAACCTGGGTAGTCTGTTCAGTGAGGAGCTTTGCTGGGGAAGGCAACCCTTTGCTTCTTTAAGAACAGGCATACTTGTCCTCTCCATGCCCTCAAACCCCTGGGCCAGTGAGATATGCAAATGATCCCCTTTCCTCATTGGTTGGAGGCCTGAGGACCACAGATGACCTCAGAGAGCTGGCCCTTTAAGAATGCCCTTTGGGCTCTGTGCCTGCAGCCCCCTTGTTCTGAGCACAGAGGCACCAGGCCCTGCTCCATGGAGCCTCCAGTCTCTGGGGAAGCTGTGCCTGCCTGGCTCTGGCGCTGACCACATCATCTCTGCCTTCCCTAAAGTGAGTATGTCCAGGGCCCACCTGGGTGCCAGGCCTCTCATCCAGAGTCCCCTTCTCCAGCACCTGCTGTCTGCTCTCTGTTGTCTGTTTTCAGCAATCCTCACACTCTGTGCCCTGTCCCACTCCCACCCCAACTGGCTTATGTCCCCTTGCTGCTATCACATCAGAAAGATGAACAACTCTCCCCACTTACCTTTCCCTGTACATACAATTCTCCCTGGACATCTCTCTCTGTGTCTCACTGTCTCCTCCTGCCCAGGACCAGTTCCTTCAATCCGTGCCTTTGTTTCCATCCCTTCCATCTTCTCAAAGCTCCATAGAGAGGACAGCAACCCTTCGTTGGGACAGAAGAGAGAGGCCTGGGGTCTGAGATGTGTTTGGAAGGAGGGCTACCCAGGCTTGGGCACTGAGATGGAGCCAAAGTCTAAGCCCTGGGGATGGGCCCTCTCTGCCCTGCCCCTTGTGGAGGTGGGGATGGGCTATTGGAATTGGGAGCTGGGCAAGAGCTTGGGATTTTCGGAAGGGTCTCTGAGGTCATCTCAGAGGTTCCTCAGGTGAACACGTGATCACACGGTTGCTAACAGAAAGGAGAGTTTCTTGGTGACACAAGTTTGGGACACTCTGTGTTGAAGTTGAATGGATGGTTTACTGAAGGATTTCTTGGTTTAAATATGCTCTTGTGCTTTGAGAATCTGCACGAGGTCGGACAACGTTTCTCAAAATTATCTTCAAGGATATTTCTCAGAATTAGTGTTCCACAGAATACTCTTTGGGACATGTTATAAAGCCTGACTGAACAGAAGGGAAAATAGGTCAGAAAGGTAAAGGTGATATGCTCAAGTTCATATAACATAGCAAGTTCTGAATAGGACGGAAGTCAATCTTGGAGAGATTGGCCTTGAGGACAGATAGTGACCACTCAGTCCTGATCTTTTTAAAGCTAATTCTAGGCTGGGTGTGGTGGCTCATGCCTATAATCCTAGCACTCTGGGAGGCCGAGGCAGGAGGATTGTTTGAACTCAGGAGTTCAAGACCAGCCTGAGCAAGAGTGAAACTCTGTCTCTATTAAAAAATAGAAAGAAATTAGCTGGACAACTAATATGTATATAGAAAAAATTCACCGGGAATGGTGGCACATGTCTGTAGTCCCACTACTGGAGAGGCTGAGGCAGGGGGATCACTTGAGCCCAGGAGTTTGAGGTTGCTGTGAGCTAGGCTGACACCATGGCACTCTAACTCAGGCAACAAAGTGAGACTCTGTCTCAAAAACAAAAAAAACCCTAACTAATTCTAGGACCTTTCTTTTTCCTTATAAAGTCTCTTGCTCTTGCTCATATAAAAGGGATTCATATGCAAGGTGCTATCCTCAGTGCTTTGAGAGGTAGAAGTATAACAGCACAGTATTGTTAAAATTCACATGCCTTCCCACTGTCCTAAAATATACACATACTCTGTCACAGTTAATTAAGCAATTTTTTTAATTGCTTGGAAATGGAATGATGCCTCCTGAGATGACAGAGCCTCTCAGCATGTCTCAGCACTAGGCTGGGAGCCCTGCCATATTGCTCTTGTTTTTTATAGATTCCAGAGGCACCATTGGGGCAACAGGCTGTGCTGTCCTCTTGCTCCTTTAGGCCTTCAGCTGCTTGTCCCTTATCAGGAGCCCCTGCCACCTGCAAGGGTGCCCTCGGCCCGGAGGTGACTATGCAGGAAACAGGGCTGCACCATCACTCTGGCTTTCCAGAACTCTGGCTCCAGGGCTCTTGGGCTTTGGGGGAAGAGGGATTTGGAGGAGGGGGATGGCAGGCAGCCTCTATGTGCTCCAGACTGCTCCTCTTTTTTGCAGGTGCACTCCTCCCAGCCCAGCCCCAGAATGGCACTGCCCCCTAGCCCCCTGGCCATGGAATATGTCAATGACTTTGACTTGATGAAGTTTGAGGTAAAGCGGGAGCCCTCTGAAGGGCGGTCTGGCCCCCCCACAGCCTCACTGGGCTCCACACCTTACAGCTCAGTGCCTCCTTCACCTACCTTCAGTGAACCAGGTATGATGGGGGCCACAGAGGGCCCCCGGCCAGGCCTGGAGGAGCTGTACTGGCTGGCAACCCTGCAGCAGCAGCTGGGGGCTGGGGAGGCCCTGGGACTGAGTCCTGAAGAGGCGGTGGAACTGCTGCAGGCTCAGGGCCCAGTCCCTGTTGAGGGTCCCCACGGCTACTACCCAGGGAGCCCCGAGGAGGCTGGAGCCCAGCATGCCCAGGTGAGTGATCAGCAAGCTGGGCTGAGGGACAGCCCGACAGAGCAAGGAGAGTTCGCGGAGAGGCTTATGGACTGGACATTGGAAAAAGAGAAGGGAAGAAGGGCCCTTGAAAAAAACCAGAGAAAACTAAATTCTGCTCCTCTCTCTTTTTTCAAAATGGAGAGAAATGAGTAGGCTGAACCAGGAGGAACAGGGAGAAGATAGAAGAGGACCCAAAGAGTAAGGGTTGAGTTGGGGAACAGGCGGTTACAGGGGGTAAATAGACACCCAGTGCGTAAACCAGGGAAGAGGTGGCATGCAGAATGGGGCGGGGCGAAGACAGTGGTTCAGGTTGGCCTTTTCAAGACTGTGCTTCCCCAGGCCCCAACCTTCTCAGGAAGGATCGGGACACATCCTATTAATTATGGACACAGACGGGGGTGTTGAGGGCATTAGGATGTAATCCAAATCCTTTGAGGGTCACAGGGTTGTGGCCTTCAGGACTGGGAGACGTGGCACGTTGGAAGGGCGGGGTCTGTCAGGGCGCAGGTCCGCTGGGCACACCCGGCCAGGAGCCGGATGCGGCAGCACGCGGACAGGGGCTCGGGGCTCAGGCGCGCGATTGGCTAACCTGACCGTGGGAGGCAGGGCCTGCACCGTGGGGCGGGCCTTGCGGGGCGCGAGTCTGGTGGCAAGGGCCAGTGGGGGCGCGGGGAGGCGGGGCGAGTCGGGACCCGGGGCGGGGTCTGGACTGCGCGGCGGTAGAAGGGCGAGCATTCTGGTAAAGGTGGGAGCCGGGGGCGGAGCTTTGCCGAGAGCAGGGCCGGGGTGGCGCGGAGACCCGGCGCTGACCCGGTCCCTGCACTCTCCTTCCGCAGCTGGCCGAGCGGTTTTCGGACGCGGCGCTGGTCTCCATGTCTGTGAGGGAGCTAAACCGGCAGCTGCGGGGCTGCGGGCGCGACGAGGCGCTGCGGCTGAAGCAGAGGCGCCGCACGCTGAAGAACCGCGGTTACGCTCAGGCCTGTCGCTCCAAGCGTCTGCAGCAGCGGCGCGGGCTGGAGGCCGAGCGCGCCCGCCTGGCCGCCCAGCTGGACGCGCTGCGGGCCGAAGTGGCCCGCCTGGCACGGGAGCGCGACCTCTACAAGGCTCGCTGTGACCGGCTGACCTCCAGCTGCCCAGGGTCCGGGGACCACGCCCACCTCTTCCTCTGAGCCGCTCGGGGCGCGGGGTGGTTGTAGGAGGCGGGTGGGTGAGTGGGGCGCACCACCCAGGAGGCGGCTGCACTGTTCATTGGATCATCACCGAGAGCCTTCTGGTCCCAGCCACTCCCTGTATGACCACACAAATACTCCAAACCTCCAGGACCCTCAAGGCATGCCCGAGTTTAGATGCTGGTCATTTTCTGGGGGAGAGGTCCCCTCCTCTCACACGGTCCACAGAAACCCAGCCCACAGGACTAGCACACTGAGCTCTGCAGGTGGAAGTGTGGTGACCCAGTGAATGGGAGGTGGTGGAGTGGTGCGGCTCCCCCCTCAGTTTAGTTTTTAATTCAGGATTTTCAGCCTGTAATGCATTAAGGCTGTAATTAGCAATGAGGTTGTATTTTCATTCTGAGGCTTGTAACGTCCCCGTTTTAGGACTACTGCATTTTCAAGATTTCAATACCCAGTAGCTAGCCAGACTAGGAACTCTATCCAAAATGCTTTTTCCCTGCCCAACCCAGTGGCATTCAGGGCCCAGATCAGCAAACGCCTGAGGGTGGGTGTTGTGGGTTGGGAGAGACCCCTGAGCAGGAGTCTGGAGACTTGGTGCTAGTCCCAGCTCTTCCATGGGATCCCTCTGTCACCTTGAGCAAATCGATTGCTTCCTGGGCCTCAGTTACTTTATTTATTCCTCATTTGGATTGGATGACTTCTGACACCTTTCCAGTTCCGGCATCTCCCCAGTGTGGGAGTCCTAATGGTCTCCCCAAGAAGTCCCCAAGATGACCTCACCAAAGGGGCAGCCTGGGCAGTGGTTGAGCAGCCCAGGGGAGGAAGCTTGGCTTCTCATGAGCACACACTGGTCCCTGCTGCTCTCTCCAGGCTGCTTCAGCCCGCAGACCTGCATAGGGTGCCCCTGCTACCTCCTACCTCTCTGCAAGCTGAGGTGAGACTTTTCTCGGGATGGCAAGGAGCTGAGAGAGTGCAGCTTTTGTGAATTAAACTTGAAGTCCAGGCAGAACTCTAATGCTATTGGCTAAATGTTCTTGCAATGTAAGAAGTGTTCATTCTTTATTCCTGTTTCAGGCTACTGTGCATGTGCGAGAGGGAGAGAGAAACTGGGAAGTCCCCACTAGGAGCTGAGTGGCACATCTCAGTTCTGGAGAGCCAATAGAAATGGGGTGGAGGGGCGGGCATTGGGCCAGATGGATCCTCTCCCTCCCACCACCACCGCCAAGCCCAGTTGCTGCAGAGGCCCAGCTAGGTCTGCCTGTGGCTGCCTTGGTTTCACGGTTGCCATGGTAACCCAGCCCTCCAGTCCAGCAGCCAAACAGGATGGCCGGTGGGGCTTCTGGGCAGAGCACAGGCATTGAGCTGTGAGCAGCCACCTCACCAGTCACTGTAGTCTGATCTCTAAGGGACACAATAAATGGGAGAAGCGGTCGGTCAGGCATGGGGGAAGAGGCTCCCATATGTCTCTCTTCCTTTCTGCCCCCTCAATCCACCTCCTCCCCAGCTGTCTCTTCTCTTCCCATCACAGTTCTTACTCCCTCCTCCCCCTTCTCTAGTCCAGCTCCTCCCTTCTCCACTCAGGAGCCTGCAATGGGAGTCCTATCCTCCAACCCCCTGGGAATATCTCTCTTCTCCTCTCCTCCACCCCACCATTGGCCACTGGTCGCCCTCTTTGGCTCTGGATCCCCTCGGCACTGTGAGCCTCCTTTGTCCCCTTCCACACTCGTTTTTGAAGGGAGGATGCCTCCAGGAGCCCAGCTCTCCCCCCCCCCCCGCACTGAATTTCACCTGTGTCTGTCCTCACCTGCTTTCTGGAGCTGTAATCCAGACCCCCTACTTTTCTTGCTCACCTTTCTTACCTGCACAGCACACAAGGGCAGAGGTACCCATCCACAGGTGCCTGTGTATGCAACTAGGCCACATACCCAGTACACACACCTGGGTCTCAAGATGATACAACTGGGTCACATGGAAATACCTTCCCCCAAAAGTTGCAAACTGTAGGGATTAAGAGTGTGGATGCTTTAGTCAGATGGGTCTGGGCTCAAGTTTCAGTTATCAGCTTTTTAAGCATGAGTGAGTTAAATCAAGCCTCATTTGCTTTGTCAGAAAAATGGGGAAAATAATGGTAACTACCTAGTGAGAATGAATGCTTTTAAAAAAGCACTTAGCACAAAGTATGACACTAGATAATAATCTTTGCTGTTGTTGTTGAAATTATCATTAAGAGTATGTAACTGTGGCCTGGCGTGGTGGCTCACGCCTGTAATCCTAGCACTCTGAGAGGCTGAGGCGAGCTGATTGCTCAAGGCCAGGAGTTCGAAACCAGCCTGGGCAAGACCCCATCTCTACTAAAAATAGAAATAAATTAATTGACCAACTAAAAATACATATACAAAAAAAAAAAAATTAGCCGGGCATGGTGGCGCATGCCTGTGGTCCCTGCTACTCAGGAGGCTGAGGCAGGAGGATCGCTTGAGCCCAGGAGATTGAGGTTGCTGTGAGCTAGGCTGATGCCATGGCATTCATTCTAGCCTGGGCAATAGAGTGAGACTCCATCTCAAAAAAAAAAAAAAAAAAAGAGTAACTGGACTTCCTGAACCATTAAGGCCACACGCATGGAGAGTCAGGGATGTGTAGTACATGAACACACACATTCACACACCCAGGAAACCAGGCTGTACAGGTCTCAGATGCCCCTTCTATTTTACAATTCATTGGCAGACCTGCTGCCTCTTCAGTCCCACCAACACCCTCTCCTGGCCCGCCCCACAGCTGTGTGGGGGCTGGGGTTCAGCCTCCGGAGAACTCGGCGGGGCCTCTCTAGAAACAGATGTAAGAGGGCATCAGCCTGCCCCCTCGACAACCCCTCATTACCCCCCTATCTCCTGTAATTAACCCCCATGGTGCCTGGACCCCCGGGGTTGGGAGATGAGGGTGGGAGCAAATCAGACCCCACTGGCACACAATTGGGATAAGAAGCAGAAGACAGTGGCCTGCTGGGGGAGTCGGGCTCAATTTTGGAAAGTAGCTATGCTCACCACTATACCACCAACGCCACACTGGGCTCAGATTTGAAAGGTGCCGGTCCTCCTCATTTCTTGTGCGTGTGGGGTAGTGCGGACTGCCCAGTGGGCATCTGAGGCATGATGGATAGAGGCTGAGGTGCTAGGAGCAGTTCCCTTTATTAATGGCCAGAAAGTCAGGATCACCAAAGGAAGTCACTGAGGGGCCACAGGGTTGAGAGGAATGGGGCTTGGAGAGATGGGGGCAGGCCCCATCACTCACTTCTAGGACCCAAGGGGTGCAGCTGGTCCAAGATGTGGAGGCATTGGTCACGAGAGTCACAGGGTTCAGGACAGGCACCTGAGAAGGCGTGGGAGAGTGGTAAGCACCCGACTACGTTACACCCAGCCTTGGTAGACTCCGCCAAGCCCCACTTTGCACCCTTTTGTTTCCACCTCTTTGGGCTCCCAGGACTCACTGAGAGGCTGAGGGAGTGTCGGTCCGGAGGGGGCAGTCACGGGCTAGAGCTGGGGGTCGTGGCTGGCGTGCAGGGCCTGGGAGCCCCGGGGCTGATGCCCTGGCTGGCGTAATATTCCACCACCTGCCTGGGCACTTCCGCCAGGACGCACTTAGCTAGTGCAGAAGGCGCGGCCTGGGTGTGGGGACAGCGACATCATGGTTAGGGGAGGAGGACTGGAGGAGGCAGGGTCAAGTGAGGGAGGGGTGGAGCTGCGGGGCGGCCAGCTGGGCTCCAGCGTCCTGAAGGACGTCAGCAGGTGGAAGAGACAGGGCCGTTGTGGGGCATGAGGAGCTGAGGAGGGGGCACTGGGCACTCACATCCTTGAAGTCTCGGAAGGGCACAAACTGGACGATGTCGCGGGCGGCAGGCACCCCTTGGGGGCAGCGCAAGGGACCGTCGTCGCCGTCCAGCAGCCGCATGTCAGAGAAGTCGGCATTGCCCACGCCCACAATGATGATGGACATGGGCAGGCGCGAGGCGCGCACGATGGCGGCGCGAGTCTCGGCCATGTCGCTCACCACGCCGTCCGTGAGCACCAGCAGCACTGAGTACTTCTGGGGGCGAGCAGAGCGGGAGGAAGAGTTGGCTCTGTCAGTGAGAGCGTGACACCCGCCTCAAGCCCAGGCCCTGGCCTCCCCACTGCTCCCCACTCCCCCCCCTCCCCCCGCAGCTCCCGGTCGCCGGTCCCCTGCTGTGTGGTGCTCACTGTGGCTTGGCCGGTGCTCTGCTCCCGCTGAGCTGGCCCGGCCACACGGTTGATGATGGGGGCCACGTTGGTGGGGCCATAGAGCTGGATCTGGGGCAGGCAACGGCGGTAGGAGGTGATGACCCCCGAGATCTCTGTGGGCAAAGAGGAGAGGTGAAGCTGGCAGAGATTAGCGGGGCAACAGGGTTGTGGGATAGGAGTGGTGGTGGCGGGGTTCCCTCCAGTCACTTTTTTTTTTTTTGAGACAGAGTCTCACTCTGTTGCCCAGGCTAGAGTGAGTGCCGTGGCGTCAGCCTAGCTCACAGCAACCTCAAACTCCTGGGCTCAAGCAATCCTCCTGCCACAGCCTCCCGAGTAGCTGGGACTACAGGCATGCGCCACCATGCCCGGCTAATTTTTTATATATATATTAGTTAACCAATTAATTTATTTCTATTTATAGTAGAGACGGGGTCTCGCTCTTGCTCAGGCTGGTTTTGAACTCCTGAACTTGAGCAATCCGCCCGCCTCAGCCTCCCAGAGTGCTAGGATTACAGGCGTTAGCCACCGTGGCTGGCCTCCAGACACTCTTTAAAGCAAGATGTTTCCAGGTCTTAGGATTGCCCCCAACCCAACAAGTTCCTCACTAAGCAGAGGGAGAGTTGGGTGGGCAGACGCTGGGCCATGGGGCTGGAAGTCTTACCAATGAGACAGAACTTGGATGGGTGGGAGGGATAGGGAGCTGGGCCTGTATGGGATGTAGGGCGTGTGCAGCAGGCATGTGCATGGGGCCCCCACAGGCTGGCGGGGATCTCTCCTCTTACCTTCACATTCAGGATTTTCCGGGTCAAAGTTGATAGCAAAGTCGTGGGACACCTGTGTGGGTAAGGTGAGAGGAGTAAGGGGATGTCTTTTCTTCCTGTCCAATGTCCCCACCATCTCCTCCCTTCCCTTGCAGCCAGCCTACCTCGAAGTTGGGGGGTATTCGAGCCCCAAAGCCAAAAGCTGGGAATCGCTTATCACTGGGGAGAAGAAAAGGCTGTGGGGCCCCTCGGGCAAGGCCCCCTTGCCTGTCCCCCCTCCAACCTCCTCCTACCTGTCATAGTCCTGGCAGATGCCTCCCACTGCACGCAGGGCCTGCAGGTAGTGGTTGGGCTGTCGGGGACT